CTTAAGTTGCATCCAATTAGATCAGATTAGAAATGGCTAGATGTATAACCGAGAAGGTTACTTATATCAGGTAAAGATGTTCAAGTTAATGGTCAAAATTGAGCTCATACAACAAGAAAAAACGTCCAGGCTAGGAGACCAGATGAAAATATGTGCAATTTGATTCATGGATAAACAGAATATGAGCCAAACGCCAACTTGAAACAAACTCAAGTATTAGTTTATTGTTGGATAGCAGGTTCTTAATCTGTTTTGGTAACAAGTTATTGGGATTCCTAATCTGTTTTGGTAATAGGTTATTGGGATTCCTAATCTGTTTTGGTAACAGGTTATTAGGATTCCTAATTTGTTTTGATTTTGGTTTTAGAATTCCTAGTATGTTTTTAGTTTTAGGATTTTTATATATATGGAATGATTGGAAAAGAGAATTGAGAAGAAAATTAGGGATATTTGGAACACAGAAAAAATGTATTTTCTGAGTTATTGGTTAATGTTTTATTTGGAGAGAATTAGAGATTTCTTGGTGAGATTAATTGGTGAGTTTAAGTGATTTGCAATCTCAGTTTGTACTCTTCTTCTCTATTAGTGAAAAACTTTATCCCTTTCTTGCCCCGTGGACGTAGACAACTTGCCGAACCACGTTAAAATTAGTTGTTTATGTTTGTGGCATTGATTTGGTTCGTTTGGCCTTCTCTCGATGTTCGTTTGATTTGATTTCTCGTAGCACGTTAGTTTGGTTGTTTGGCTTCCGCAGCGCTCAACAAGTGATATCAGAGCTCGGGCTACGCTTGGGCTATTTGGAGGAGTAGGTCGTTTTGAAGACTCGCCTAGGGCTTCGTTTGGTGATAAAGGTGGGATCTTTTTGGTAAAGACTCTATCTTTTTTAGTTTTGGATCTATTCTTCATTTGTTCCGCATTTGTTTTGGTGCTTTGAGAAAGATGGTCGGGAAAGAAGGAGTTGTGGAGGGTACTTCCGGCGTGAAGACCGTCCAAAGTTTGAATATCCACTCTATGAAGATAGATGTGGAGAAGTTTAATGGCACAAACAATTTTGGTCTTTGGAGATGTGAAGTCTTAGATGCACTCAATGTGTAAAATTTGGAAGATACTTTAAAGTTGGACGGAAAACCAAACGACATTGAGGAAAATGTTTGAAAAATATGAATAGAACTGCGTGTGGTGTGATTAGATCTTGTTTGACTCAAGATTTAAAATATGATATGATCAATGAGACTTCGGCTAAGAAGATTTGGGAGATCCTAGAGGGGAAGTATTTGACCAAGAGTGTAGAGAACCGCTTGCATCTGAAGAGGAGACTTTATCACTTCCAATTGAAGAAGGGGACTTCCATTGGTGATCACATGAACCATTTCACAAAGCTTCTTGCGAATTTGACGAATGTAGATGTGATGATTGAAGATAAGGACAAGGCGTTATTGTTGTTGAGTTTCTTACCTGACGAGGAATATGAGACCTTCGTTCTTACTCTTATTAATGGGAAGACATCTCTTTCTTATAGTGAGGTCACCGCTATACTTGTGAATTATTAGCTTCGAAAGAAGGATAGGGAGACTTCAGTTGAGCCGGTAACGGGGGCATTGGTCGCAAGAGCAAAGAGTCAAAACCGTGATAGGAGGTCGCAGTCTAGAGGGGCACATCTTAGAGTTCGTAGAAATCAGTGTGCCTTTTGTAAAGTGGATGGACATTAGAAAGCTGAATGCCCAAAGTTGGTTGATCGAGCCGGGAAGAATAAGGGGAAACCTATTCAAGCTTCAGAGGTGAATGTTGTCAAGGCTAGTGACAATAATTCAGATTCGGATTCTTCGGGCTACTTGTTATCTACACAACCGTCAGTTTGTGTTGGCGACTCTACAGAGTGGATGTTGGATTCAGGTGCTTCTTACCATATTTGCCCTAGAAGAGATTGGTTCTCCATCTTTCAGGAGTTGGAAAAGAAGAGAGGTTGTGCTCATGGGTAATGATCATTGGTGGTATCAGTACAGTTCGGATTAGGATGAGCGACGGAGTGATTCGGGAGTTGGTTGGAGTGAGGTTCGTTCCTCAGTTGAAGTAGAACATCATTTCACTTGGAGTTTTGGAGGTAGCAAGCTATAGGGTGACCTTAGTCGATTCATGTTTGAAGGTAACATTAGGATCCATGATTGTGATGAAGGGCCTCAGGAGGAATAATTTGTATTATTTGATTGGGAGCACGGTGTTTGATAGAGAGCTGACGACTTCTTTGGATTTGGCTAGACTATGGCATTTGTTGAGGCTAGGTTATTTGATTGGTTATGTTGTGTATGATTTGTTGAGGAGTGCTTTGACCTGCAGATTAAACTCCTTTGAGCACATTAGTATAAGCAAGAAGACCGAGGTGGAGTTTGGCACTTTTATCCATCGATCGAGGGGTCTTTTAAGTGGTGTTCAGTCAGGTATTTGAGGGCCTTCCAAGGAGGCATCATTGGGAGGTAATCAGTATTTGGTTTTCGCAGTTAGGGATTGTTTTAGGGATTGGTGGGTTACAACCAGGTCCCGTTGGTGTAAAGTCCTAGAAGTCAACAACAATTGGAAGAAGTGCATTGGCAGAAAGGTAACTCGTCGTTCTAGCTTTGGTAGGGGTTCTTTCTTGCATTTGTGCTGAGCTCATGTCAGTTTGTGACACTTTATTGATGTGAAGACATTAGGGCGACGAGATGAGATGACAGTTTTGATGGGTCGTTTCTTACTGGAGGGGATCGACGTTGGTTGTCAAGCATTGATTTTGGTTTTGGTGCTTTGATATATTTAGGTCATTTTGGTCATAGATTGCCGACTGCTACGTATGGAGATTTTGGATCTGGTGGAGCTACTTCATATTTTGGGTTACATTGGATATTTGGTTGCCCAGCATTTGATCACATCGAGGATGTGAGATTTGATCTGATTGTACATTTGGAATTTAAAGGTTCGTTTGATTATCAGTTAGGAGCTTCTGATTTTGTTATGAGCAGGTATGTCACATTTAACTCTCGGCAGGTGGATAGTGTTGATCAGATCATTGGGATATCACAGCGGGTGGAGGATGATGCTACTTCACATTGGGTGGAAATTACTCCACATACTTTAGATCATACTGCATCATTTGGGATTCTAGCTGAGGTGACACAATTTGGAAATCATTTGGATTTCGATGCAGATGATAAGTTGCTTTTGGATTCGACTGCAGCTGGTGGGCATGTTTTGGATACGGTCATTGGTTCACCTCAGGTGATAGTGTTTGATTTGTTTCAGTTTGGGGCCATTGGGAGCGCTATCAGTTGCAGATCCGTTGGTGATATTGGTGAAGAGTTGCAAACTTTTCTATTTGATTGAGGGTCTTTGGAGGCCATTTGATGAACTACGTAAGGCTTGATTCCTTGGGCAAGAGGATACGTAGGCAGTCAGTTATGATGCAGCCGATTTGGTGAGTAGATACCGACATTTGGAGAGTGACCACATTTCTCGTTTGGGTCTCGACTTGTTGCGGATTGAGTCCGTTGTTGTTATTTTGTTTCACTTCGTACTGGACGCAACAAGTGAGATATTTGTTTGGTGTTGGTGTCGACTCAGTTTTAGGAAAACTTCGCCGAGGTGGAGAATTGTTGGATAGCAAGTTCCTAATCTATTTTGGTAACAGGTTATTGGGATTCCTAATCTGTTTTGGTAATAGGTTATTGGGGTTCCTAATCTGTTTTGGTAACAGGTTATTAGGATTTCTAATTTGTTTTGATTTTGGCTTTAGAATTCCTAGTATGTTTTTGGTTTTAGGATTTCTATATATATAGAACGATTGGAAGAGAGAATTGAGAAGAAAATTAGGGATATTTGGAGCACAGAAAAGAAGTGTTTTCTGAGCTATTGGTTAGGGTTTTGTTTGGAGAGAATTAGAGATTTGCTTGTGATATTAATTGGTGAGTTTGAGTGATTTGTAATCTCAGTTTGTACTCTTCTTCTTTATTAGTGAAAAACATTATTCCCTTCTTGCCCCGTGGACGTAGGCATCTTGTTGAACCACGTTAAAATTGGTTGTTTGTGTTTACGGCATTGATTTGGTTCATTTGGTCTTCTCTCGACGTTCGTTTGATTTGATTTCTCGAAGCACGTTGGTTTGGTTGTTTGGCTTCCGCAGCACTCAACATTTATATCGTTCCAAAGTTATTTGTGCAAGTTCATTTAGGATCTGAAGTAAAACCAGTAACGCCACTATTGATTGATACCTACTTTTAGGGTTAGGTCAAGATTGTCATTTCCATCATTATATAACGGATTTTTCGAACGAAAAGTTATAATAAGACTAAATATACACGTAACAATGGTAGAAGGACTAAATTGAGAAAAATAGGATGACTAATTTGAATATTGAGCTCCAATACAGGGACCAGACTGACCTTTTAGCCATTATACAATAGGCACGATTTTGTTTAAACATTTTGACTCCGGTTTGATTTTGGAGAAGTATTTTAGTTAGCCAACAATAATTGGAATAAACAAAGCTGTGGAGGCTTTCTGTGCAAAACCTCGCAAAGTGGAGGGGTTAATCGAAGAATTTAATTGAGGCCAACAAATTCAACTTACTACCCCTGTAATTACATTGTTTCTGTAGAACCCCGAAGTGAAACTTTTCTAACCGGTTTCGGGGGACCATGCAACAATAGTTTTCATTCAAGGGGTCTATTTGCGACAATATAACTTTTTAGGGGTTCCATCCGCAACAATAGATTTTCACTCAAGGGGGTCTATTATCTGTAATAATAGAACTCTTTCCAAGGGTATATCCGCAACAATAGAAATTAAAGAGCTAGTAAGTTCAATTTGAGACAAGAGGCTTAAGCGAACTGAACCCTTGAAGACAGTAATTTTTGTTGTTTTGGTTTTACTTCAACTTGGCTACAGCTATGATCTGAGACAGAGGCTTGTGATATGAGGTTCGTAGGCAATCTTTTTCAGGACTTTAGGAGACACATCTGGGTTGCTTTCTTAGAGCTCAGAGGGGGGTAGATACACAAGAAAGTAGGGAGGGGGTAACTATGCATGAAATAAAAGGAGAGAGATAATGGGTGACATCACAGCCGTTCATTTCATCAGAAGTTTGTTGAAGCAAGCCCACCCATTAACAGGCCTCAGTTAAAGAGCATTCTGGTTTCGTTCCCTAGCCTCACGCCACAGAGGATGAAAAGCTACAGCCCACGCTAAGTTTGTGCTCTTGTTGCTGTTGATGTTGGTTTCGATCGTTTCCTTCGATTCTTCTTTGCCCTACAATGCTTGATTGATTCATACCAAGACCCAGATTTCTCTTTTTGTTTCCAAATGGGTTCTCCTCTCAAACAACTGCCAAGGAGGCTCTTTGAGCTGCTAGAGGAGCAGCAAGAGCCTTTTCTCCTTGAGAATGGGTTTTCTAGGAGAAGATGCTTCAAATGCGAAGGTACATTTAGGTGTTGGAGTCTGAGCAATCATGGGTTTAGGAGGAGGAGGGCTAGAAATGGCATTTTGCATTGTTTCCTTGCTAGGAGTGTATGCTGGAAAGCAATCAAGAGGGCTTTGAAGTGGGAAAGAGCTAAACTTGCTGGTTGTCTCTCTGAAATAAGAAGCGAGGCCAATGCCGGAGGTTTTCATCGCTTATCAGGGTTTAGTGGAGAGATTAAAGGGAATAAGATTGAGCATAGTCCTGTTTCTGTTCTTGAACTGCACTCATATGAGGCCTCCTCTGATCAAAATCATTGTAAGTTCTTGACTCAAATTAACTGACATTTCGCTTTTAGGACTTGAATTAATCCTTTCGTTTTGTCTTCTGTTGTAGCAATGGACGAAGAGAATTCATCAACATCGAGGCTCAACTCACCTACATATTCTCTTCCAATTCGACCAAGGCAGCTCCTTTTGGATTTCTTGGAGGAAATGGAGGAAAGAGATTGTCACCCTTGCGAATTTTTGGGGCAAAAAATGGGTACAAATATTATGAAGCAAGAGGAGATCTTTCCATGGGAGAAACAAAGGGAAGATGTGCCAATGTTTAGTGACTTGCTAAGCTTGGATTTATCTGCAACAAAAAGGGAATGGACCCAGTTTCAAGCTGAGAAGAGAGAGATTGGAACAAAGATAGGAGGCATGATCTTTGAAGAGATGAGAGTAGAGTGTGTGTATGATATGCTTGGCTTTTGTTGTACATTGAAAACTTGATGATTTTGATGATGATGATGATGATGATGATGATGATGAGTGTAATTACGAAAGCACAGTCGAGCCTTAAACTGTTTTAATTTTGTTTCTTTTGTCTTGTGGGTTTTTGGCATTAAGGAAAGATCTAAAAAAGCATTGATGCTAGAGGAGAAGACAAAAGTGTTTTCTCTTTCATGTTGAAGTTCAATGGTCAATAGCACACAGCCTCTTGGCATTATATTAGCCTTGTTCAAATCATCCTTATTGTTTTTTGAACAAGTTGCTTCGTAAGTTGAGTATTTTACTGCTCAGTAGAATTACTTGGTCTGCTTCTAAGAATCCAATGTCATGAATATATTGTTTATTGTTGGGACTTTTTTCATGCTTGTGTTGGGAATATAAAACAAAATACCTGAGGCTGGGTTCAGAAAATTTATTCATGCTTATGGTTAGAGTTTATAGATAAAAATGTACATGCATTGACTTGGTCTCCTCTTCAACACTAGAGAGCTTTCCTTCCTATTTCAGCCTTTTTTTTCCGGTGCTTAAAATTCAAGCCATCCAGATTTTATACCAAAATGCACATGGGCTATTTCAAATTTTTAATTAAATTAAAAAAAATCAATTGACAATTAGACTATACTCGAAGATAACTATCCAACATTATGGTGATCTTTTCTAAGCACTTGAATGCTTGAAAATAAATGAAAACTAACAACTGCAAAGTAAATTTTTAGAGAATAAGTTAGAGAAAGTATTTCTAGACTTCTCATTAGAACACTTGTTCTGTAGTATTTGGTTGAGATTTGAAAGATTAAGAACAAAATTGAAATATTAATTTTTTTCACCTCCTTTTTCTTTCACTTTCTAAAGTATAGAGACTAAGATAGGTTTCACTTCTAATTTCTATTTCACGTCGCATCAACAAGCTGTAGGCGTCTAAAAATACTTATAGGTATGTCTGAATACAGCTCGAGACGAAGAGAAGATGATGAACGCTATTATCCAAGTCAGAGAGGATTATCCGAACCCGTAAAGAAGCTAATGAGCGCCTAAAGCAAGTCAGCGAAACGTACAAGTCAACGAAATGACAAAATACGCAAAACGGCGAAAAAAGTACAAGTCCGGAAGGCCAAAAAATGGCTAAAGTCCCGAACTGTCCCGCACATCTGCGGGACACCAAGTGGCGTCCTGCGCAGCTACGGGACACCAATTGGTGTCCCGCGCAACTACGGAGCACGAATTGGTGTCCCGCGCCCACGCGGGTCACCAGCGTCTGTCCCGCACACCAACTTCCCAAAACGCGTATTTTGATATTTTTTCGGGATTTCTTCGTTTCTAAGCTTCCCAACTGACTTGATATCATATCTAAGAGTGGTTAAGTCGTTGTCAACTGAAAATATGGTCAAACATTCATTCTTATCCAAATACCATACATCTGAAGCCCTATAAATACAAGTCTAGGGGCTCATTTCTCCGGATCTGGAATTTTTATTAAGAGGATGAGGTGCTGTCGATTTGGAGAGCAAGGACCACAAAATTCCAGAGAGGGCTAACAGATTTCTGACGAACTTCAGCATAAAGAGGGAGTGATTCGAAGGATCTGAGTCCTATTTCCCCCATTCCTTGAGATCAGGCTTGGACTTGATGTCGAGAAGAGTCATAATCTCGCTTGGTTGAGATTATCACTTCTGTTCTTGTTTCCTTTGTGAAGCAACAAACTTCTAGCTTTCTGTCAATCGGATCCGATCCGCGGCGGTCCACGGATAAAGCCCGACACAGGCAAAAATCTCACGTAAACAGAGACTAATAAATAGGATCTGTGTGTTGTTTGACAACGTTATAATCTTTTATTTTTTTCATTGTGTAAAAAGATCTTATAAAAAGATAACATTTTCTATTTTTTGAACTTGTAATCGATAAACGATTATAACAGGTTCAATAACAATGAAAAATGTAACTTTTGACTCAAACACAAGCATTTCTAACTATAAGGATCCCAAGAAGAGTAGTTAATGAATTTATGGATATATACACAATTGTCACTTTTTTGTTGATGACCCATGTGAGTTATTCAAGCTCATTTTTCACTAACCCAAATATTAATAGAGATTCTAGATCAAACGTTTTTCTTGATCAGCGACCATAGATGCAACTTATTAGGCAATTTAAAGCTTCCTTTATTCAACTTATTAAACTAGTCATGTGAAATACATTACGGCTTTCATGTTAACTAAAAGAGAAGCTATTTGCGCAATCTAATAAACATCATGACATCTAGAGTTAAGGATATGTTTGGTTCATAACATGGTAACCAATTTTTTATGGTTTAAATGAGAAAAAAAAATCAAAACTTGACATGTGGGGCTTTTTTTCATTATTTTTAGCTCATTCCTTTTCAAAACAAACCGAAATAGGTTTTTAAGTTTTTGTAGGATCCACTGCATTATTAGCATCTAAGTCGCGTAGATACTCTTTCACCTTTTCTTTTTGCTTATAACCAAACAGAGTGGCAGAGGGAATCGATTTACTCTGATCATATTTCCTCGTGCAGCTCTGAACCAAACAGCCCCTAAACCTTATTGATAATTTTTTTGCCCCCGAAATATTTAACACAAAAAATGTGGCACGGTATCATTGCTGTTGGTGATTTGACGTAAACTAGAATTAATGAATGGAGGAAAAAAACAGCGGATGGAAGTGATTGAGGAAAGAAGTTAGCACGTCCAAGGTATGTGTTTATTGAGTGGTACATATTGCATATCATCATAGAGTTAGTTCAACAATGTTATTCACATAAACATCGCCATCTGAGGTCCTACCAACCAATCCATGTGAATGTTTATTGCATACGATCCATCTCAGATACGGATTGATGTTGATACTGTTCTCGTCAGAGTCCAGAGACTCCAGACCCTGGTAAAAGGTTCTGATCAAGTAATTGTTTGATATTTTATTAAAGAAAAGTCAATTTAACATGTTTTACATATTTTATTTTCCTCGGCAATTAATACGTGCATAATGACTATATAATTATGGCGAACGTTATCGTATTAATTACAGGTTTATTGCGTAACGGTCGACATTATGTCGTACGTTACTGTATTGATTGTTAGGATTTGTAACGGCTCTCTAAGACCCATATATAAGCAGCCCTTCACATTCTCGGAAAAATAACAAGAAAAACAACAAGTCTCTTCTCTCCTCTTCATATTATTTCTTCATAGTATTGGTTTTGTTTTTGGGCAACTTTCTTCATCTGAGTAGAAGCTCTGTACTCTCACCCGAGTATAGAGGTCGGCCGATTCCGGGGGTTTTTACAGTTAGGCGAGAGGGGATCATCTGCGCCAGGGCGATAGGCGGGTCCTCAATCTTCTAGGGCAGTGAATACACGACTGCTCCCGATCAGGCCAGATTTAATTGTTTATTTTATTCGGATTTATTTCATGTTATAATCTTAATTATTTGATAAATTTCCAACAGTAATTACATAATTTGTTCTTATGGTCTCTTTATGATTTATGAATTTCTTATCTCATAAAAATTTTCCTACATCAGGTCCTAACAATTTATCACGTCTGTTACTGTGCTAGGAAATGATTCAAGGGGGTTCAATGCAACTGAAGATACAGAATAGCAGATGATGAGGGTTATATGCAATTTAGCTATAATGACATATCAACACCTATAACTAAACCTCTTGTAGGTGTGCGAGGGGTTGGGTCTTGAGGTTTTGGACAAGGAGATTTAAGGATTGATCGATATTTATGTCATCCCTATTCTTAATATTCATCCAATCGATATTGCTTTGCTTGTGCTACTTTTATGAGCCCTAGTCGATATATGGAGGATCCAGGGGCTTTACTTGCTTAATTCAATGACGCTTGGTAGTGGGATTGGGTTTAGGTCCCTCATAGATGATATTAGGGGGTGTTTGGTTCACTAGTGGGATTAGGAATCCGTTTTTTATGGATTCCTACAAATTCCATAAAAAAATTTAAGACAATATTATGGATTCATGGAATCCTTTTTTTCTTTCCTATGTTTGTTTCATAACATGAAAAAATGGAATTCAAAACTTTATAGAAACCATCTAATTCCTATTCTTTTGTTCGGTTTGGAATGAGAAAATTTTGGGATAATGGTGAGTACACATTAGATATTCTTACCCGTTTGACAATATTCAAATCTAAAAAAACACTATAACAACGGCTAGTTCCAAGGCCTTGGAGGCTATAAATTTGGATTGAGTGCTTATTGTGCTAATGTATCCCTCAATCTTACCACTTTTTTAAATTCTCATAGTTTGCAAGTTGCCTCCCCTCCATCAATATGATATCAAAAGAATGCCCTAAAAATTTTGAAGTTTGGTGTGATTGCAATCTCCAAACACCCAAGAAAGTATGCAATAATGGTAAAAATAAGGGGATGTGCTACTGGGGTGTGAAAAATACTCAAATAAAGAATGTAATTTTTTTGAATGGGCTGATGAAAGAGGAGAAATAAGCAACCAAGGGAACCAATACAAATAAAGAATGTAATTTTTTTGAATGGGCTGATGAAAGAGGAGAAATAAGCAACCAAGGGAACCAATATGTCAAAGAAAATAGGTGGCTGATGAAAGAGGAGAAATAAGCAACCAAGGGAACCAATATGTCAAAGAAAATAGGTACGGAGATAAGTATTTTTTAAAATCAAAGAAGATGAAGAAAAAATTGAAACTTGTCGAAAAACAACTATTAGCTTGGAAATTTTCAGCAATTTTACTAGTGATATTTTGTATTATTTTAATTATTATAAATCGCATGTCATGTACTTGTACTTGCAAAAACTATTGATATTGTAATAAAAACTTTTATTACAATTGAGTAGACTATTGAGTAGACTATAATTACCAATTCTAGTTGATATTGTACGGCTCAGGAATAGGTCATTTTGTCAAAATTGAATGCCCTGCCTATAACTTACAGGTTTATTATAGATTGCATTCTAATGATGGATTGCCTCACCTAGACATTGTCAATTCAATGTATGATGCAATCTCATCACATATTACCTCATCTGAACATAATAAACGCTGCAAGTTACATTGTATTCTCAGTAAACGTTAATCATTATTGCCAAATATCAACTATGGAGCAAGCTCCACCAATTTATAAACTGATACCAACAAAAGCGACAGCATCATAACCGACAGCCAAAAAAATAGACCATATGAGCTACACAAGCTCATGAATG